ATTCTTCTTTTTATGATTACCCTTTATTAGTATTTTCCACTGGGCTATTTTAAAGGAGCCGATTTGTTATCGCTAAGTATGTTTTGTTATTGGAGTATTCCCCAGTTTCACGTTTTAATTATTGCTCCGTAATCAGTTTGCGCTCCCTGCTTCACCCGGGCGTAAAAATCCCGATTCGTTGGTCTTAGATTAGTAATCTCTTCTTAAAGCTATTTATTAAAATATTAGTCAACACTTTTTACTTTAATATCAAGGGCTCTGTTTCTTGTCTTTATTTGGCCTCATCTTAAATTTTTGCGCAGTCAAACTGAACTACTTGTTGTGGTATTAGTTCTGCGGAAGAGCACAATTGTCGTCCAGGACAGTACACCGAGTAGACTTACTAAATAATCTTCCATATATTAAATAAAAAGTATTGAAACAGCGGGGGTAGACCGTGATAATTCGTTTGCTGTGAACGCCAAGTCCATTCACTAGTTTAACGTAGTCTTTCAGATCGGATCTTGGTCTCTAAATATAACATTCAGGGGTCTTCTGTCAACCTGCGTTTGGTCGGGCGGACACAATTTTCTGTAATGCACAACAATGGCTCTACCTATACGACTTGACTGAGTATAAAGACGATAGACAGGGGCCACTATTTGTGGCGTTTGTTCCTTTGGTTACGCATTTTGGTAAGAATCACTGCATCGTTGTCTACCTGCGGTAATTTTGGTTTCTTGAAACCTGGACGAGGCAAGAGAGAGGGAGAGAATGGCGTGAGTGCTGCGCCGATGCACAAATTTACGCGCATATTACCTTTATTTTTCTTGTCGCGGTCAAACTACCCTGTTTCAACTCCTGACGACCGTTAAGCTGGGCTGCAGAAGAGGTCGACTTAACTGGACTTTGGGCAATAAGAGTGAATGTAACAGTAGCATTGGTTTAATCCGAATATGCCCAACATCTGCTTCTATCACGAAACTTTTTTCAGAATGTATCTACACTCTAACCGTTCAGCAGATTTTGTTAGTGTCTCTTTTGAGCCTTTTGCCTTCTTTCTAGTTCAACGAGGAGCTATATAACCGGTTACAGAGTGAAAAGAACGAAGGAGTCGTTCCATTCTGTTCTCGCATATTCCCCGTTCCGACGGATGCAGTCGCCATCAAATCCCGGAATCCCAGCCTCTTCGCCACTGACCAGTTAAAGATTGAGGTACGTATTCATCTATGCCTACCCTTTTAGCTCGATTAATTAAACCAAGCCACACCTTATCTATCAGTTTCTTTGAAATTTTCCTGATTTTGGTCCATGTTTGAGAGTATCTGACCTCCTAGCCTGCGCATATCTAGTTGCTCCCACTGGTTACTTTGTCAACTGGAGATTCCGTTCAACTTGAGTTGGGTCATCTGCCTTCTGCGCAGGGTTTCGGTATAGTGTTCCGTGTAATATCTTGTGCTAGAAACCACCCGAACACGTTTCTTTTATGTTGTATATTGATTGTATATTTCGAGTTTTGAAATTTAGTAAAAGTCGGTGTGCTCTTGTTATACAAAAATATATTCTGATGCTTGCATGCCGTATTTAATTAATTTTGAAAACTCTCAGTGGCTTGGTGCCCTATGTCTTATTATTATGAACCAAAATTTATAAGAGATATACGAATGAAGTGGATCCGGCG